CTTCTCCCATAGATGTAGTTAATCCACCTCCACAAGAGGCGGTAGCTATGTCGACAGGAGAAGCCCTCCTGTCGACATAGCACTGTCTTCACTAGGGATTAGGTTGGTACAACTGCATCGCTCAAGGGTGTGGATTTTTCATACCCGAGCAACATTGTTATACCGATGTAAGTTTGTAGTGTAGATGAGTGTCCACATGTGAAGTTATATTGGTATAATTATGCCAGTAAATTACCCTGCGTAGACAAGCCCACACAGGGAACATGATGTCCCTAAACATCATACTTAAAAGTGATAATTCTCTTTTTGCAAAAAAATTGGAATAACATACAGTACATAGGGTAGAGAGTGTGAGCTGTGTTTTGTTTATGTTTTCTGCAGTGGGTGGATATGGGCTCTAGAATAGTGTTTTCCCAACCTTTTCCATCGCAGGGGCCAGTCAGTTATTTAAAGTGTTGTGGACTAGCACAGACCACCTCCTGTCTCTCTCCCTCTCCCATTCTCTGTCTCTCTTACTAGGCTGGGGTCCAGGCTACTGCTGCTGCTCAGTGCTTATTGAGGCAGCAGGGCTGGGCCAGCAGCACCACCAGTGTGGGGAGGAAATACTCTGCTGCAGGCTGGCCTGCCTGGAACTAGGTTCTAATTGGAGCCTGCCGTAGCCAAATGTAGGGTTGCCAACCCTGCCAGATTGGCCAGGAGTCTCCTGGAATGGACCTCGATCTCCTGGTGACTACTAAAGCCAATCCAGGAGATTTTAGGTCCCTAAAAGTCTGGTGGGCAGTGCAGTGGGACAGGCAGGCTCCCTACCTGCCCTCACTCTGCATGGCTCCCGGGAGCCAGCCACCTTGAACAGCCACTCCACAGCTCCCATTGGCCGGAGCCCCGTCCCACTCTGAACCCCTTAGCCCCAACCCAGGGCCTGCACTCCCTCCCGCACCCCAACCCCCTACCCCAGCCCGTGAAAGTGAGTGAGGGTGGGGTAGAGTGAGTGATGGAGGGAGGGAGGATGGAGTGAGCAGGGGCGGGGCTTCAGAGAAGGGACAAGGCAGAAGTGTGGCCTTGGGAAGGGGCAGGGCAGGGCAATGGTGTTTGGGTTTGTGCGATTAGACAGTTGGTAACCCTAGCCAGATGGGGTGGGTGAAGAAAAAGAACTGCTCTGGGGGTGTGGTGGTGGATAGGGAGTGGGTCCTGAGTGGGTGCCTATGCCCCCAGAAGGTGGGGGATTGGTAATGGGTCCTGAGGCTTGCTGCAGTAGAGAAGTGAGTTTATGGCCCTGCCTCAACCTAGGCAGTTGAAGAGAGCAGCTGCCTTGGGAGTTAGGGGTGGGTGGGTGGAGGCCTTTCTAAGGGGGAGAAGTGTTGGGGAACCATTTCCTTTTTCCTTGGGCTGGAAGTGTTGTTAACTTCTCAGACTGTTGCCTGATTAAAAGGGTTAATAATAATTGTATTGATTGCCAATTGATACTAATTAATGAGTTGAGGGTAACAGGATTCTTGACTCAAGATCACCCCTCTCTGAACTGCTTCTCAGACTTTATGCCACTACTTTGCTAAAACACAGCCATATGTGTTTAGATTCTGGAAATATGCATCTGAGCTGTACTATTGCATTGTTTATTTATAAAAATTATATTTCTATTATTTATTACAGAAATTGAGAATTAATTATGGGGAGTAACCAACAAAATCCCATAAGAAAGTTCTTCAAATATCACAATGTAAAAAAAAATCTGTTTGTCAAATTGGGGAACCAGAGTGCCATTCAATTGTGTCAGGGAACCATGCCAGCAACCTGGAAAGGCACCAGCATGAGGAGTAAGATGCACTTTCTTTAGGGAAAAAAAAAGAATTGCAGAATAAAAATAATAAATGACTACAACATGAACACAATCCTGATGAACCCACATCTAAGAAGTCTAGTACAACATAAGCTACTTTGGACTCCATGTTCACAAATAAGGCAATTACATGAACAATTGATGAAGCTACCTGACTGGATATTTGCCTAGGATTAGTCACTATAAATGGAAGACCATTTAAGACAATGGAGGATTCAAGATTTCATAAAAATTCCATTCTGGGAGGCCTGCAAAGAAAACTTACACTGACTGATGAAAATGTACTAGACAAAGTTGGCACTGTAGCTGGTACCATTCAGGAGAAGATAAAAAAAATCAGGGAAAGACTAATTTCTTTGAAAGTAGATTGCGTCACATGATTTGACCGAATTAGGAATTAACATTCAGTATATGGTTGCAGGAAAAATTGCTCTTCAGATTCAAGGAAAGACACACCTCTGAATATTTAAAATAAATTATTCTTAGTTATTGATATGTATGGAATCATGCCAAGGCATATATTTAGTATTACAACAGATAATGTCACAAAAATGGTGAAAGCAGTGAAGTTAATGATTGAGGATCAGGAAACTGAAGAAGTAGAACAACAAATTCAGAATGAAGGGGAAACAAAGAATTTACTCTTCAGGGAAGATGCTCAAGAAGATCCAAGCATCATGTCTAATCTGTAATCTTAGATGAATACTTCTTAAAAAACAAATGTGGCAACCAAACTCCCTAAGCTGTTTTTAGGGGGAGGGATAGCTCAGTGGTTTGAGCATTGGCCTACTACACCCAGGGTTATGAGCTCAATCATTGAGGGAGCCACTTAGGAATCTGGGGCAAAAATCAGTACTTGGTCCTGCTAGTGAAGGCTGGGGGCTGGACTCAATGACTTTTTGGGGTCCCTTCCAGTTCTATGAGATAAGGTATATCTCCATATATTATTAGTTCTTGTGCAGCTTGTTTTTGAGTAACTGATATAGAAAGAAGCTGTAGACCAAGATCAGAATGATTTGGTTGAAGAAGCTGGACTTAGTTTATGTGCTGAGGCCAAGGGTGTAATATTGAAGGGAGTTCACTATGTCTGTAAAAATTGAGAAACCAAACAATATTGGTACTCATTAGAAAATTAAAATGAAAAACCTGAATCTTAGATTGTCCTATCAGATGGCACTCAATATATGACATGCTTGAGTGCCTCTTGGAGCTCATGGATTTCTGCCAGGGCATGACCACTTCAGATCATGAGCTTCACCTGACAGAAGCAGAATAGAGTGCCATTGAAGGCATCACAATTGCACTGAAACCTGTTAAAGTGACAACAAAAATTCTTCAATATGAACTGAGTATGGATGACTTTTATGGTGCTTGGTTATAATGCTAATTGGAAACACAGAAAGTCTCTTCTTCTTTTACTGAATCCTTACTGGCTTCAATGAAAAAATGAGAACAAAATCTGTTTGAAAATGATATCTTTCTCTCATGTATAAACCTTGATGCTAGATATCAACTCCTACTGTCAGAAGAGGACAAAGTCAAGGTAAAGTTTCATTTGACCAAAATGTGGACAAAAATGGAAATGCTTCAGTCAGAAGTTGAAAATAGTGATGTCCTAGAATCAATGTCACATATGTCTGTAACTGAAAGATAATAAAACTTCTTAAAGCTTGTGAAATTTCTAAAAAGGAAGTGAGATCTGGCTGAAGAAGAGTCCAGAAAATGATTGGACCCATAGGCACTGACTCTGTGGATGCTCCGGGGCTGGAGCACCCACCGGCAGCCAAGCTCCCCTCCCTGCTCCCGAGCGTGCCGCATCCCCGTTCCTCCGCCTACCTCCCAGCGCTTCCAGCCACCGAACAGCTGTTTGGCGGCACTTAGGACTTTCCAGGAGGAAGGGGGGAGGAGCGGGGATGCGGTGCACACAGGGGAGTTAATCACAGTGATTTTTCCAGGAGCCTAAAATGTAGCCTTTGTGATTCTCAGTGTCACAATGCCTAAAGCCCTTTGTGCATTCAGCCCTTTGTCACCCCAGCTATACTGCTGTAACAGTAACAGGATGTTTTCTGTTTGTCAGCTAGAGACCCCTGATATAGGTAAGAGTATAAACAAATTATTTGGAACTTTAAGGATATTAAAGTGCAGTACTGTGCCCAAATACTCTGCAAAAGTAGCGTTCTGGAGTTCCTTATTTATTGTGACAAATTCTAAAACAAAAACAGTTAACAAGTATACAGATGTTTTGTTATGTGTTTTTCTATCTGTCAGCCTACAAGCTCAAACCTGTCTATGACTGTCAAAGTGGATCCTTTCCTCCTTTTGCACCAGCATATATATAAATATGCCAAGGGCATAATCTGGACCTCAGTGACATCTGAGTAAACCTTATTGTCTTCAAAGGTTGAAAGCCGAGGGGAAGTTAATAAACAATGGCATTGCATAAGGAGTGGAATCCAGCTGCCTCTCTTAGCAGTTTTGGCTATTCAGGACTAACAAGAATAAAAACAGTAATAACTTGTTTGTTACTAATATTAGTAATGAGGTCTCTGAATACACCCGAAGGACAGACAGATCTCTTCACCAACAAGTTGCCATTTTTACACAGCCACTTCCTGGAATAAAACCATGCTCTGAGATGGTCTGGAAATAACTAGCAGCCATTACCTGGTATCTTTCATTGGTCAGAAATGGTGAAACTTAACAGACATTAAGGGGGGGAGGAGTGAAATTTAGCAGACCATCTGAGCACATTCTAACCTGAAGTACAGTTTCCCAGCTGCAGCTGTCCTTTCTCTGTACCAACTGTCTTGACTACTTAAGATAGTCCTTGTCCCAAAGACTACTTACAGTGTTAGGACACGTTGGTACAGTGCCTAGCAAACATTGTTTGAAAATTGCCAAATGTCACTGAACATTTTTTCAGGCATCTTAAACCCTAGTCTGGGAAGGCTAGCCAACTCAAAACAATCCCTGCCAAGCCAGGAGAAGAACAGTGCTGTTCTGTATTACAACGGCACATATGGGTCCCAAGATTGGGACTCTATTGTGCTAGGTGCTGTACAAAGTAATAGATGGTTCCTGTCTTCAAAATCTTGTAATCAAAGGTCCTGATCTTGCAATTCACTGCACTAATGCAGAGTTTCACTTAAATCAGTGGGGTTGCATGTGGGCATAGGGGCTCTGCCCATGTGGATTAATTTGCAGGATGTAGCCCCAAATAAACAAGATAGGTTGGGGAGAAAACGATGCAACATATGGCAGAGGGATGACTGGCAAATGTCATATTAGTTGCACTTATCTCCTGTTTTGAGATTTGTTTTGCCTTGTGGTGTGGTTTAGGTTCTGTTTCTTGTGTATTATGAGGGGGAAGGAGTCAGGAAGGGACAAATTAACTGGAGCAAGGGGGTGGGAAGGAGAAAATGAGATAGAGACTAGAGATGGATGGTTAGAAGCATGGAGGACTGAAAGATAGAGACCCTGTGATGCTGTGTATAAGAAAGGCGACCATTTATATCACTGTTGTTACCACTGGTACACAGTTTCCATACATCTTATACAAAGTATGTCATGTAAGGTATCAATAGAAAAGTTATGAATTGCTAAGTATGATTATCCTGTTTATATGCATGTGTCATCTTTATATCTGAAGTTATGAATATTTGCTATGTATCTATTTCTCAAACATGTGTTGTATGCCTGAGTGACACCTGCCCCCAGATAGATTTACATCAGGGCTAAACAGCTATGTGTTGATGGCCCATTAAGGACACTCAGCTCACAACGGGCCACTGAAGAAACTCATCCCACCCAGTAGGCCTTTCCTGAGGATGCCTCAGAAAGGATGGGGCCAATCATAAGCACTGATCCCCACCAGCCCCTGGCCCCGGCCTTGCACTGCCTCTTCCCGCCCCTGCACCGCCCTCGTCCCGCTCCCACTCCCGACCCTTTCCCCAAAGTCCCCACCCCCATTCCACCTCCTTCCCCCAAGTCCCTGCCCTTGCCCTGCCTCTTCTCCGCCTCCTCCTCTGAGTGTGCCGCGTCCCTGCTCCTCCCCCTTCCTCCCGGAAAGTCCTAAGAGCCGCCAAACAGCTGTTAGGTGCGGAAGGGGGCGGGAAGCGCTGGGTGGGAAGGGGAGGAGCAGGGACGTGGTGCGCTCGGGGGGGGGGAGAAGGAAGTGAGGAGGGGGGAGCTTCGCTGCCGCTGGGTCTGGACCACCCGCTAATTTTTCCCAGTGGGTGCTCCAGTCCCAGAGCACCCACAGAGTCGGCGCCTATGGGGTCAATGGCCACCCTTGTGATCAAGCAAACCATGCAAGGACATGTGACCTAAGACTCCATCTTTTACCAGTAATTTTCCATGCTCACATAAACCTGGACACCATATTGGGTCAGTAACTTTCCATGCACCTGGGCTGGGCTTTAAAAGACACCTGAGACATTTCCATTTTGCCTCATTTCTACTCCAATCTCTGGATTGTGGATTTACAACTAAAAGGAGTATTTTTGAACTGAGAAACTTCCAAACTTTTGGAAGATACCAGAGAGACTTTGGCAAGCTAGCAGTCTATTCCATCACTGCTACAAACCTGGTATAAGGACTTTGCAATCACTTGTATGTATATAATTCCTTAACCATTCAATAACTGTATTCTTTTCTTTCATCAATAAAATCTTTAGGTAGTTCCTAAGGATTCACTGACAGCGTGATATTTGTATAAGGTCTGAGATACATATTGACCTGGGGGTAAGTGTCTGATACTTTGGGATTAGGAGAACCTCACATATGGTGAACTGGGTTTTCAGTAACCTCTCATTATATTAGACCTATTTGTCTGGATGGGAGCCAAGGGCTGGAATGCCCAAGGGGAACAGTGTTTGGCTTCTGGTTACCCAGTGTGGTACTGCAGAAGCTCTTTTGTTACTGGTTTGGTGAATCTAATTATAGAATAAACCATCAGTTTGGGGGGGATTGTCTGCCCTGATTCCTATAGTCTACCCTGAGGCTTTCTCAGTGTGGTCCATCCCAGGCACCTGGTCACACCTCCACCCCAAGTTTCTGAGGGAGGGTCAGGGCCGCCCAGAGGATTCAGGGGGTCTGGGGCAAAGCAATTTCGGGGGCCCCTTCCATAAAAAAAAGTTGAAATACTATAGAATACTATAGTCTCGTGGGGGCCCCTGCGGGGCCCGGGGCAAATTGCCCCACTTGCCCCCCCCCCCCCGGGCAGCCCTGGCGAGGGTGCAGGAAGAGATTGGAGCAAATAGCCAACCAGTAAACAGAACATACTGAACGTGTATGTTAAGATAGTGCATAGGGACCAACCAAGATTGGGCCCCATTGTGCAAGGCGCTGTCCAAACATAGTAGTAGACAGTCCCAGCCATGAAGACCTTGCAATCTAAACAGACATAACAGACAAAAGGCAGGGGAAATGAATATAACATACAAGCAGAACATGTTTAGGGTTGAAATGTAAGTCAATTTGACATCACTAGTGTCCAGAGAACTGTGAAGATAGGGGAGTGGCAGTGAGGCCCTGGCTGGGTTTCCTCTGACCCTAGTAGCTGATGCCTGGCGAAATTCCTGGCAATATCTTTGTAGAGCTTGCTCTGCCCTGGGAGCTTCCTGCAGAGCCTCATGGCTACCCGGGTGAAATTTCAATAGTATTGTCTCTTCCTTTCAAAGAGACTGGTGTGAGCTCCTTGTGAGCTATGTGAAGAAAGATGAGAAAAGATAACAAGCTCCTTCATTCCCCCCATGTATCCCTGGGATGGGATGTATAACGTCTTTATCTAAAGTATATAAGGCCCCTGGCAGAGGGAAAGATGAGGGCCAAA